TGTACAGGCTGTATTATTAGTACAGGTTTTAAACTGAGAACTAAAGCAAACATTTCAACTGGAAATAACACAAATATCAATGGCTTGTTTTACTTAAAAATGGACTTACAGCTTAGTTCTGTAACATCAAAATCATTTTATTACTGTCACCACTGGACTTGCTGGCTGCAGTAATAAAGTCCATTCTTATGTGACTGCAGATCTGGCTACACAAATACACAGGTCTTTGTGGTCCAGATTCAGAAACTTTTTTCATAAATTTCTGCAATCGAGTGAAATATTGTGACAGGAAAAATAAACACCGATGGTTTAATCAATATGGCAACAACAGCATATTTATAACTGAGCCATAGAACAACATTAACAAAGGATATATGAGAGCAGGCAATACCACTGTGCTGATTCAAATTATTGCTCACTTATTATTTTGAGAATACAATATTATCTCTTTTGATTTGTTGTTCTTTCTTCACTTTCAAATGACTATGATCAAATTCAGCTCTGGTGCAGCACTAAGATCATCAGCCCAGCTCAACAGCTGCTCTGAAGGCTGCCAAGTGTGTGGAACATGTTCAGCTGGAACACTGTCTGTCAGGAGAGAGCTGAGACACTGCTTTTTATAGGAGGAGACCCACTGAAGCTGAACTCGTGATTGGAGTCTTTTTAAGAAACACTTTTTCCTTAATTGGGAGAGAATTAAACTTCAGCATTCATTACACAGGTGATTTCACAGCATGTATCTTCAAGTGCAACAAGTTACCTTTATAAAATGAAAAGGAAATAGTCATAAATCTTCCTTATGCCATAAATATCTTTTAGAGGAGCAATGTTAGAATAAGCAGGAATGGCCACCCCTGTTTTCATACATGGAAGCAATGGAAGAATGAAAGATCTGGACCACTGATTATACTGTGGCTGAGATCCAAGCATGTGATGCCAGACTCCTCCAAGAATTAGGGTGGCTGAGTAACCAGTGAATTCCCTGCTGATTCAGACAGATTAGCATCACTTGTTTCAGCCCCTGGAACAAATCAGCAGGAAATTGGGCAAAGCTGTGAGCCAGAAATTTCTTTGTGGACGCAGTGTCTGCATTAACTTTTTATAAATTTTGTTTACAGATGTTTTAACAAGTTATTTGGAGCAGTAAATAAAATAACTGATGAAGATTTGCAAAAGGATGTCATGGTACTACATGACTAAATGGTAACAGATGAAAGTCACTCTAGAGAGATCAAAGGTGAGTCACTTTGTGAGGAAATAACCAATAATTTCTGTGATTCTATGAAGTATTTTGACTGTATTGATTAGCACACACAGTTCTGCCCTCTCACCTCATGGGCTGCAAGGTGCTGGAAAAGGTACAGGGAAGGGAGCAAGCTGATCTTTTTATGGCTTGCAAATAAGGACATTTTTAAAAGACCAGGAATCCTTTGAAAACAGTTTTTAAAAATGAAAGGATAAGTGGCATGGAAAAGGAAAATAGAGACTGGTGTTCATTTTCTCTTCCAATACCAGAATTCAGAGACAGCAAAAGAAAAGATCATGTGGGGGTTTCACAAACACTTCTCTACACAACACAGTCAGGCTGTGAAAGTCTTTACCACGGGATGCTCGACATGTCAGAGGTTTGCAGGGGCTCAGACCCCGACCTGGACACCTTCCCAGGCACAAACAAAGCACACTGAGAATGCAAACGGGTTTTCTCCTTTGCTTTTGTTCCCCTAGACAAAACCTGGGGACTGCCAGCATCTGAGCTGCTTTTCACCTCTCAAAGCTTACAACAGCTCTGCTGTGTGCATGCCCCACAAAAAACCCTTTTTTAATCTGCTCAACAAGGTACTGTGTATTTAACAATACAGGCAGTCTTGCTTGCCTCCCTGGCCTTTGCTCTGTCATCTGGTGCCCACAAGCCACCAGCTCCCTGGGTGTCACAACCACACCTAGATGGTAAGAAACTGCTTTCATAGTTGTATTTCAGAAGCCTGGTGTCTCATCTCCCTCACCACCAGCCTTCTCTGGTACAGTTACTCTTCTGTGCGTTTTTTACAACCTTTTTCTTGGTTGTTAAGCTTTTAAAACATTTGAACCACACTTGTTGTCTCTAGTATTCCACAGCCAGGTACACGGCACCCATGATGTGCAATTTCAATACTTTTAATTATTTTCAGGAGCAGAGAAGAAGCCCATTTCTGCAATAGCACACATGACAGGCTTTTGGAGTTGTATTCCACAGCCTCTAAGGTGTAAGGGAATTGTTTGTTGGCTCTTCTATCAGTGCAGGAGATAAACAACAAAGGAAAGGACGTGAGGCCTCCCCTGCAAACATACAGATCATACCTCGCATTAAGAGCCCCTTCATGAAATACAATAATGCTTGGCAATTTCTCCTAAGTTACAGGAATTTTATACTGGATTGCATCTTGAATTAACCTGTCATCCAACCCCAGATCTTACAGAGAGCAGACAACCACGCTGTGGAACACTTCCCTGCCTAAAGGCTGGGCACCTGCCCCAAAAGGGACAAGTGATACATGAGAATTTTCACTGAGAAACATAAATTCTGGGATAAATAAGGGGATAATAGAAATAGCAAGGATCCAAAGGCAGCTCATCTCCTCTGCTCTGCCCTGCCCTTCTGGCAGAATCAGGCTCCCTGCCTTGGGTAGCACTTTTAGCTAACCTGCTTTCTCCAGCACATGCATTATCCATGGCCCCATGTTCAGCTCCAAGCACATTTGCCATGTCTCAGTTCTGAAGGATGTGTATGTTGAAGCACATATGCTTCTGAAAACCACAACTAGTCAGATCCAAGTCTGGCTATACCATTTCCCTTGAGGAATTCAAGCAAGAGTGCAGTGTTCCATTATATCAATTTAAAAATACATATATTCTCAGCTTAACATGGTTTAGGCCACTAAAACCCAAATATGCTTCCAGTTGCAACTGCTGTAGTAATTGCTCTAATGTACTTAAAAGCTATTACATCTACACAAATTTAATTGGTATTAAACATTCCCCAAAACAGCTGCCATATTTCTCTCTCTTACATGATGCTGCTGGAAATGATTGAATTTTTCTTAAAAATGAGATAAATCTGTTTATCTCCACAAAGCCCCTTTGTGGCCACTTGCTTAGTTGTTAATGTTTTTTTCATTTTTGTTCTCTTTCACCTCAGATGGGCTCACAGCTGATGGATGCAGTACAACTACCACCTAATTAATTTGCTGGAGAATTTAGCAGTTGATAAATACAGTTTATCAAAAAGCCATCAATCAAGCTCTTGCTTACCAGAGATACTGGTAAGGGCATTAAACCAATGCAAGCAACTTTTGAATATGATACTTAGTTCTACTAGATATCCAGAAGATAACATGAAGTAAAAGTTGGAAGTTACTGAAGTTAATTTTCAATAGCAGCCCATGATGTAACCCCCAGTAAAGTGACATTTGGAACAACTAATTCAACAATAGGAGGTGGCACTGTGTACAGTCTCTCTTTAGAAGTGAGTTTTCTTCACTGTAGGCAGCACATTGAGTCACATCATAAATATAAATATGTATACACATATATAAATATAAATAAGTATTCACACATGCAGCAAGATCAGTCTGTGGATTTTCCAGACACTGAATCTGTGCAGCCATCAGTCTCTCCAATCACACACCCACACTCATGGCCAGCTAGTCCTTGCATTTGGGACACAAATTCACACCCATGAAAGGAAACCAATACTGGATTTCAGGCTTATGTCTTCTAAAATGAATCATGATTTGGCTATTTCAGCTGGACTCAGAAATTCACTCAAGTTATTTGATCTTCAGTGATCACCTATTCTTTCTAAAAATGAAGTCACTTTAGGATGGTTGAGCTTCAGTATTAAAAATCAGAAAAGTTTGCAACTTTGAGTCTCTGCTGTCAATTGATTTTGCAGCACGGTGAAAATCAGATACTCTTGTAAATCAAAGAATATCAACTATTCTTATTCTGTAATCCCATGACCATGAAGAGAAACTGAAATATAATACCTACTTTTACTTTAGCTCTTTACCTGTTTTTCTTTCATTATCTCTAGATCGCTGAAGATTAATTATTAATTCTGAGTCAAATAGTTCTCCTAAGTAAATTTTCAGCTGCAGAATGAATTCATTGATTTTTTCCCCATTTTTGCATTACAGCACACAAAAGCACCAAAAGCTAAAAAACCCCACAAAAATCACTAATGCCTTCCTTCCAGGCACTTGAGATAATTTTGACTTTCCAGCAGTGCCCCAAGCTGCAGCTGAAATGAGTTGAGGTCAGTGCATATTTAGGCACATTTGCAGGACTGAGTGTCCAACAAAGGAAAATTTCCCCCCAGTTGTATCTGCAGATCTCTTAGAGCTGAAGAAGAATCATTCCTAAGCACTAAGGAAATCCTTCCTTTAGCAATGGATCCCAGTCTCCAGTGTATGCAGGGGGTTCTTTCAGCATCCAGGCAGGAGCTGGGTCCCTGATGCTCATGGGTCCTTTCCAACTGGGAATATGCAGTGATTCTGCCAGCAGAGCCTGGCTCTGTGCCTGAGCCCCAGTGCCCCTGAGCAGATCACTGCAAGGGACACAGCTGGCAAACATCTGGCACTGACATGGTGGCTCCTGTACTTTGGGCAGCAGGATCCTGGACACTGTGAGCCAACACTCCCAGAAACACACATTTAAAACACACATTTAGTCAAGTTCCCACTGAACACCTCGGTGGAAAGGCTTATACTGATTTCTCCAATTACAATTCCACACCATCTAATTTCTATGCAATGAAATGCTATACAAGCACAAAGCCCTCTGTCTTCCTACATACCATTATAGGAAAATGGAGTACATTTACTATTACCCAAAGCCATTACTTATTCTTTTCTGAAATACCAGCCTTAACCATTCTTTGATATCTGCCAGCAAAGGGAGTGTTCAGTGGCAAGTCACTTACACCACATATTCCAGAAAAAATGCAATTCCATCAGACATACCTCCACAAGCCTGCTGGTATGTTCTCGAAATATTGCAGCATATTCCTTTATTTCTTTCTCTCTTCCATTTTTAGCAGCCTCAATGAGAACTAGCAGTGGAACAGTGGTGTCTAAGAAGGAGTCTGAGATGTGATCTATAATGGCTTTCCGGAGCTGCAAAAGAAAGCAGTACATCAGTACCTGCTAATTGGAGCATTCATTAAAGCCTGCTGTAATTATTGTCCATTCCTATTTATAACATTGACACATACACTCTGTACTCCTGCATTGTTTGCAGCACAGCTCTGTAACCTATGGAAGCTACAAATGATGTATTATATAGAAAATTGTATTTAATTTTAAGGACAACTTCGATATGCCACTGGGTAAATATGCCTGTTCATAAGTGTTTGTACAGATACATAAAACACTACAGCATGTACTGCTTCTCTGGAAATCAAGGGAGCCAAGCAAATATTTCCCTTCCTTGATGAATAGGCTACTTAAGTGATTCCATATGTGAAAAATTAGTTAGCCCAGACCTCATATCTCCCGGGTATTCTCCCTCGTAATTCAGATGCCAAGGGAGAAGGCTATTTAGTTTTACAAAGAAAATATTAATTTAATCATGTTTGTACTCACAAAACAGCTACATCCCATGATTTCATAATTGCAAAATTACCCAAGTATTTTCTTCCTGGGAAACCCCTGACACGGTCTGGCTTGCAGAATGGCAGCCTTCATGGTAATTATGTCAATGAGATTACTGATTGTGCCACCTGATCATGTATTAATAGAGCAAGAAGATCTATAAATGAGGCTGGAGTTCAATTTTCTCTGCTTAAATTAATTGTTCTTGAACTTCCAACCTAAATTATTAAAGAAGTATAACATTCTGCTGTAAATTACCTGTCTTAAATTAGGCCTCACAGAAGCTTGTAACCAATCACTGGGACATGACTTCAGGTTGTTGTGCCTGTTCCCTACACATGAGAGCTGCTCATTTAGATCATGCAGCACTACAACAGACACACCAACTGCAACAATACATGAAATGCAACTTCATTATGCAATGCACTCAACTGCCTACTCCAAATGCAGTATTTTTACAATATACAGAAAAGATACTGATTGGAACAGAAAAGGACACTACATGTTTTTAAGCTCACCATGCTGTTGCCAAAGTACTGTTTTCACTTGGCATTTTGCTGCAATGTATCTGTGTGAAAACTCAGTAGAAGTAAAGACTCCTACCAGGAGAAAAGCAGAAAAAAGCACACTCTTTTGGATGCTGCTGTTTGTAGGTAGGGCAGTGACCATGCACAGCACAAAGAACAAAGGAGAAATCCTCTGCTTATCAGACAAGATGTGCATGTGAATTCCACCAGCAGCTTCTGGAGCCTGAAGGGAGCTCTCCCTGACTCACCAGAGGGACAGACAAACCTTCCAAACAAGCACAGGCAATTTATGTCTGGAATGGTTTCTTTGTCTCCTAAGCTACTGCAGCAGATCACATTAGGATATACTGTCTGGATACACTGCATGTTCTGCAAAGTCATTTACAAAGACAGAGACTGTGGGATTCCAATACAAAATCGGATTTCTTACATTCTCAGCTTTATTCAGGCTGGATTTTTTTTTAAAAAAGCTATTGGAAAGTTTCTTTACCAGAAATAAAATACATCAAACCTTCTGTCCTGCCAAGTCACCTGCTAAGATTTCTGTTGGAAAGGCTCCACTACAGAAAACAGATATTCTTCCTGTTTAAAATTAGATACACGAATGTGACTTTGAAGAGTCACAGTTTAAAAATTAAAGATTTCAATTTACAAAAAACACCAGCAGAAAGTTGTGGAACCATTGCATCCATGGCCAATGATTCATTATCTCCAACAGAAATATTTTGGGGTTCTGTACAGCCCAGGCTGCAGGACTTTCACAGCCTTAGTGTGGTGTCACTACAATAACCTCAGTCACAATAGTGCTGAGCTTGAGATACCCAACTGCAAACCAGCAGCCTCATTTTATCTCTCATTGCATAATTCTTTTCTATAGCTTTTCACTGGTTTTCTTGGCTTAAATAACCTTTCACACAGAAATTATCTTTACTATTTTGTTCTAAGAAATGCTCTATCCTGCAATTATGCAGCAAATTGCATCTTCTTCAAAAAAACCCAAAGATAATGCTGTGTCTTTGCTGAACACAAACAAGTTTGATATTATGTTCCTGTTGCAGCTCTGCAAAGGAATACATGAAGCTGACAGTTGCACAGGGTGGCTTGTGTAGCACTGAAGAACAAAGAAATACAACACAGAAAAAGAAGGAAAAGACAAAAGAGAAAAGGAATATCTGAGGCACCATCTATTTCTTTTCATGCTAATCCTAACAAGCATTTCTTCCATGACTCAGTAAGTCTGTTTCTGACTCTGGCCACCTGTAGGGCAAAATGCTGAAAGCTGAGTAGCCAGAAGGGAGGTGTATGAACAAAGGGCAGCACCAGCAGTGCCAGCACGCAATGCTAGGCAAGTTACTGTGCTATAATTAAACTTTTTCTCCTATTTTTAAGTGAAAGAGACACCATCAGAGGGAAAGCAGGGGGGATGATGTCTCACCAATTGTTTTCTTCTTAAGATGCAAGGTCTTACCCTTTGAGCAGACTGCTACAGAAGCATGGAGAATTTTTGTTTTGATATCAGAATGCATTAAAAAATAACACAGGAGCATGTTGTTTATAAAACATGGGGCATAAGGTTGTCAAAAACAGTGGAGAGTAGAGAAAAAAATGCCAGCAGCTGTTTGCAACACATCAGTACTGATGAGCAGAGAAAACTGTTTGCCTCTGCTTGCCTGTTGCCTTACCAGGCTGCCCTGGCAGAAGTCGTGGACAAAGCTCAGAGCAGTTATTCCTGAGGGATCTCCCTTTCCCTTCCAAAGGGCAGCCAGGAAGGCCATCTCTTTTGTGTCCAGCTACCCATTATGAACAAGTTACATAAAAATATAAGAGTATCACCAGGAATAACTTAATAATTTATTGAAACAATGTTTTAAAAAACATGATTAAAAAATGTTTTAATAATTTATTAAAACAACCAACCAGCCAGAACTGCAGAACAACCACAGGAGAAACATCTGTGCAGATGTGCATTCATGCTACACTGGGAAAGAACTGGGAGGCAAGAGCTGAGTATGGTAATTTCACATAATTTAAAATTGCAATGAATAGGCAATTCTTTCCCAAAGATCTCCTCGGCAGGGAAGCAGTGATCCAGGTTAAACTGCACACACAGAAATGGCATGTACATCTCCAGCACAATACCAGTCCAAATCAAAACAAAGCAGAAAGTTTCAAAGTACTGGCCAAGCTCCTGAAATGAATGTAAATAACTTTCCTTGAAAAGCTGCGAGTTCTTACAGCTCCCAGAACACCTCGTTCTGGGCCAGCTACTTCTGCCTTCAGTGCTGCCACACACAGCCCTCCTGCACTGTCCTGGCTGGGGGATTCCAGAGGGGCCATGGCACTACCCACAGTCAGGCTGCTTTGTTGGGTACTACTGAAGGGATTTTAAAATTACAGCTTTATAAGGTTTCATCTCGAGCCCCAGTTTTGTGTGACTGAAAGCAGACACTGCACACCGCAGCCCTGAATCCACCCTGAGCACCTGATGCAATACCAGCAAAGGTACACAGTATCATTAAAAAATAAAGTATCATAAAAGATGTAAGAGTAGAGCAAACAATTTTCATGTTTCTTGTAAAATTGCTGGGAGACAGAATAACGAATGTTCGTGAGTGAAAGCAAAGAAGACTCTAATGCAGTGTCTGCAGGCACAAAATTCACAATTTTAATGGCTCCCAGATCAGGAATTAGGCATGCACTAAGCACTCTTCCTAAAACAATTCTTATGCAATTCATATATATGAACACAGAATTGGAGGAAATAGATAAAATATTTCTCATAAATGCCTTCCAGTGGAAAAAATGTCAAGAAGCACAGAGCTGTTCTGGTAAGAGAAAATTACTGGTTCTAGATTGACTATAAATTGAGCATGATTACATTCAGGCTGAACATTTTCCAAAGGTTTACAGAAAGACACAAATTGAATTAGTTAACAGCTTTTAACCACTGTAACAGAGTCAATAAAGTGTTTTAAGCTGGAGTTTAATTAACTCATGGAAGGAAATGAATGGAAGGGTTCCTAGACACACTGAGCTGGTGATGCAGGTCTCTGCACTGAACACATTTTAGACAGCATGTAAGCAGAAACTGGAGAGCTACTTAGTTGTAAACACTGTATCTGTATGATATTCTTCTCATTTTTCAAGGCTTCTCCTGGCTGATTATGGGAGCAGGAAGGAATTTATTCCTCATCTTGAAGCTCAGGCTGGCTTGCAAGACTGAACACAAAGGTGGGAGGGATAGTTTTCCACCAGGGAGTTGATGAACAGCCCGAGCAGGAGACAGGATGAAAGGTGTGCTCATGTTCTGTGTGCCTGTAAATCTTCATGTACTTGGTTGGGACAGCCTGGCTGAAAGAACTACTGACATTCTAGGGGTTTTCTTTCTGAAAGGACACATTACACCCTTCCAGCATCATCTGCAGTTTTCTCAAAGATATTTATTGCAGAGAAAGGGTGTAAACACAGCTGCTGCCTACTGCTAACCTTGTGCCCTTCACTGAAGCCGTGGGTTCTGCTCCATGTCTCACAGCAGCTTAGGACACTGGGATGTACAATGGGGGGTGCACTGGGCATTCCAAGGGCCCTCCTGTGTGGTAAGAGTTCTCACAGCTCTAAAGACCCACACACACTGACTCAGTAGTTCCTTCAAGGTGTCTGTTCCAACAACCAGTAATAATTCAAGCTTACTGAAAATTAAACAAATCTATGGCCAGAGTACATTACTGATTTATACCTACAGCAAATATATTTAGACATGCATATGTACAGATATATATTCAGCCAGTATCATTTGGCAGGGTTTTCTCCCAGAGTTTTGAAAACTGGTATGTAAATATTCTGTGGAATGGTGCAATTGCTATCAATACATTTTTATGATGGAAAAAAAATCTTCTTTTCAAAATGCATAAAGTGAAAATAGCGAATTGGAAAAGAATCCCTCAATGGCGTTTTTGCAGCTTTCATTTGCCCAGGTGCTCACCTGCCTGCGGAGGTCTCTGGTCTTCTTGCACATAGCATCTATGGCCACGTTCAAGGCATTGCTTCTCTCTGCCTTGTCAGTCTGCAATCAAAGGGACAGGAAACAATCAGTGCTTGTCTGGCATCCCTCAGCCTGCACATTCTTTGTGTCCCCAGTGCATCACAGCATTTGGTCAATCGTACATGCTGAAGGATTTTTCCAATTTTTCATACTTTTCAAGAGCCAGTACCACAATATCCACAGAATGCCAATTTGTGATGTTAAGCATAATTTGCTGAATCAAAACATATGCTTTAGAAGCAGTATACAGGAATAAAATAAACACTTCACTTCTGAATTGCTGCAATACTCCCAGTGTAATCAACAACATGAATAGAACTATGATGATAGTGATGATGGTGATGGTGATGATGGTGATTAATAACAGTAATAATAACAACAACAATATTGATGGCAATCCATTAATACCCTATTCATGTGAAAAACAGTGGTCTCTCTCTGCAAACAATGTATAAATTCAGGTGCCCACAATGCAGTTTGGTTATGCTTTTGTCTGCAGTGTTCATTCTTTTCCTTCTGTAAAACAGAATGGGTGAGTTTCAAAATGCCCAAGATGCTGCAATGCAAACACTGTCCAGGAAATGGCAATCTCTTCATTCCACAGCACATTCATCCTCAGCAGCTACAAGACTGAGTTCTTGAGATATTTCAGAGGTCTGAAGAGAATCAGCTTTACTTTCTAAACAATTGTAATCTTTTTATTTCCACCTATAAGCAAAGTGCTTCTATCATCATTTCCTATTTGAAAAGTGCACTCCACACTTCACTGGACCCCTCAGCCTTGTTTCCCTACAATATTACCATTATAGTTCTGTGCCTACTAGCTGGTTTGAGTTTCTTTTTTCCTGTTAGTACAGAAACAATATGAAGGTCCAAAATGCCTGATGAACTTTGTTTGCCTAAAGCAAGCAATCTACTCACAGCCTTGGAGTGCCCTGGTCTAAAGGAAAGAACCACAGAGTGGTGCTTTACACAAAGTCAGCACACATGACATTTACAGCACAAAGAAGCAGACTCTCAGAAATGCTAAGCAAGAGCTATGTACACTCACCACAGGATTTGGACTTCGTTTACCAACCACCAGGAGGTGTCTATTATGAACATGACTGTGTCATTTTATAAATAACATTAAAATTAATATGGAAGTGATAACGTCTTGGTAGGCACCCAAGATAACATAAGCTTGTTATCTATGTATCATACTTCAGTCAGTTATTTCCTGACTAAAGAAACCTGTGAACAGGACAATATGCTTAATATTAAAACAAAGACTAGAGGTGACTCTTACATTAAAATTAAATGTGCAATGTCATAAACGCCTTGAAATTATTAGCAGATTCTCTAACAACTGAAAGGAAAAACTACTTTAAAAATTGAGCTTGTATTTTCGGGGAGATTTAGAAAATCTCCTGTGACCTTCTATCTCTGAAGCTGCCTATAGTCTTTGCAGAGAACAAATGATCCAACCAGGTCTTGGAGAAAGGTCTGAACTTCACCTTAAAGCCTTCAGGGAATCCCTGGAGGTGGACACTCACTTCTGTCCCACAGCAATGCCATCATTTCTTGTAGCAAGGCTTGCACAGGAGCCAAGGTAAATAATGACTCCTCTGTGGTGCTTTGCAAGTCTTGTCAACCTCGACAACAAAATGATCCCTTCTGAACTGCCAGGTAAGCAGGGCCAGGAAAAACTCTGTGAATACAACCCAGCTTATGCCTATGCATTTTCAGACTATGAGAATGCACTGGCATATCCTTTGAAAGCTCTATATTTAGAGGCTATTTTTCTACAAAGACAAAATCTTTGTAAAATACTGGGATATTTTTCAAATTCTCTGGTAATCTATAACTTCAAAGGTGGCCACTAATGATACAACTGGCTCTAAGCTAACCTAAATCTTTGAGGCAGCTAATATGAAAGCAAGTGGCATAAAATATTGAACAGTGAACAAGTAAAGATACTTTATTTTCAAACTCTTAGCATAATAGTCCATGTCTAGAAAGCAAATCTAACTATAAACAAAGCTATTCTTCACCTCATGTTTTCCCTAAGAAATAAACACACTACAAATGCCCTGTAAATTCAGGCTGTGGAATATGGACAAGTCCAGACTGCAGGTAACCTCATAACTGCAGACTGTCACTCTTCCCTAAGAGAATTTCAACATCAAAACCCCCACACTTCTGTTTGGATCAATCACACCAGATCATTGCTCTCCTGAACAGCCAAAAACCAGCAGATGTGATGTTCTAAAACCACTGTGGAAATGCTGGCACAGTGAAACCAAAGGTGACCTGAACACCTCCACACTCAGCAGTGCCACTGTCTCACTCCCCAGTGATGGAACCCACACATCTGGAGTTGAAATACTCCACATCTGCTTGGCAATTAAATCCTTCTGGGGACTGCTGTACTTCAGAACAAGCCTATCCTAAAACAGTCCTACTTGTACAGAGTGACTGAACTAGGAAAAGGGCTAGGAGAATTATGCACATTATTCTGGGTCTGGATTTTAAAAATCAGGTAGTTGAGCCTTTCAGTTATCCTGCACTCACCTACTGTTTTTTTCCTGTGAATTATATGTAGTAACAGCTATATGGCTCCCTTGTGAAGATCCTGAAAGCAATATCCTATTTCAATGCTTTTCTAACATGTGAAACATTTTACAAGCACTAAGTCACAGTGTTATTAATATTCCACTGAGTGAACGTAAGTATTTTTAATTAACACTGGATACCCTCAAGATAAATACTGGGTACTGCAAATAATACAGGCCCATCTATTTCACACACTGGCAAACAACATTAGTTGAATGTGTCAAAAACCACATGTGCAGCAAATCTTTCTGCTGCATTTCCATTTGGAGCAGGACACACATACAGGCACTCTCAGCTGCAGCACAGGCCCGTGTCCCCACTGGTTTTGAAGGAGTTCACTGACAGCAGCAGGGACTGTGACCTCCTCAGGCAGCCCAGAGGCTCCTGCAGCCCAAGGTGCACAGTGCAAACCATGAGAGCTGCACAGCCCTGCAGCACTCACAACCAGCTCCAGCCAAGCCTCTGTGGGAACAGGCCCACACACACCACAGGAATCCCACAAGCTCCACACTTTGTCCAGTGGATTTAGACAAAGGACTACACAGATACTCTGAGAAGGTTTCAGGTTCACTTTCTTCATACTCCTAAAGGCCCACAAATGTTTACCTGACAGTTGCACTGATCAGTAGATTATAAGGAAGATATGGGCAGAAGTACCTAAGTGATCATTTAATCTCTTCTAGTACTTAGCCTAATAAATATTCCTATATTTAAAGGTCTGTGGCCAGAAATTAAGCCCATTTTGTTTCATGGGATGTGTCTCTTCCCAAATAGTCATTGCACAATCTTAGGAGGAATAAATAAATGTTTAAAAATACAATTTACTACCATGATTTTGTTTGTTTATCCCACAATGACAGAATGGTTTGGGTTGGAAGCCATTTTAAAGCCCACCTCATTCCAGGCCCCTGCCATGGCAGGGACACTTCCACTGTCCCAGGCTGCTCCAAGCCCCAGTGTCCAGCCTGGCCTTGGGCACTGCCAGGGATCCAGGGGCAGCCACAGCTGTGCCAGGGCCTGCCCACCCTGCCAGGGAACAATTCCTTCTCCTGTCTGATCAAAACCTGCCCTCCGCCAATTGTCTCCAGCAGCTGCACCACGACTCTGTGATCAACAGATTTTGATGGAGTTCTGTGTATCCAAGAACAGTTTTCATTAAAAAGACTAGCACATTTATCAAAATCAGTTCTCTATGGAAATATTAAAAAAAAAGAAGCCAAGCTAAAAGGTAAACAGCAATCAATACTACAATAACTTAATAAATGTCAGAGCTCTAATTAAATGACTGACTGTTTCAGCCTGCATTGACTGAAAATAATCCCACACTCAGCAATTAGAGGGTCCTGTACATTACACCTTAATTTAAAAAAACCCAAAAAACAAACTCTCACATAGCTTAGGTAGGACATTAAAGCCAAGTCACAGCCTCTATAGAGACACCAAGAATTTATGTATGTTGCTACAATTTAGCATGTAACATATAATGATTTCTTTTGCATATGGAATTTATAAATGGTTCTTATTTTGATTTATAAAGTCACTGTGAATTCTAATCAAAACCATATGATTGAAAGAAAATTGTATAAAAAGCAATTTTACAATTTATTTTGCACGACGAAAAAAATTTTGTCATTACTTGAGACATTTCCACACCTCAAGCTTTTGTGCAATGACAAGATTTTTTTTTTCATACACAGCTTATAGAAACCCTGATCTTTCAAATCCTGTTGTGGAACTCAACAAAGTAAAGACATCTACAAGCATTTGTCTCAAAAAGCCCCAAAGAAGTCCAGGAGCCTTTCAAAGGGAAGATCCAATTCAATCCTGTTGCAACCTTCATTTATCCCAGGGTTCAGGGGTGCCAGAATTGGTTAACACTGTGCTTCAGCCATCAGCAACCAAACAAAACTAATACCCCTTCCTACATTCTTTGCTAGGAGGGGACAAAGGGTTTGCCACCTTGAAGGTCACACAGAGAGAATAAAATCCAAGATGACTGTTTGTGAGAAATGCCAAGTGTGGGGCAGAACCTCCCTGTATTCCTTTGCACCAGTCTGGATACCACTAGGCCCTGGGATTTGTCCCTCAAATGTAGAATTAATTTAAATTTTATTTTACCCTTCAAATTTTCAGCTTGTCCTCACAAGCAGCCTCATTGAAACATGGAACTGTTTAGATGCATGAGCAATTATATGCACAGCATTCACTGCCTGAGAAATCTCTTACATGAACATTTCAGAAGTTATTCAAGGAATCCTCTGACAAGGCAGTTAAGGCAGAACCTGACATTTCTGACATTTTTCCTTTGAAAAGGTAAAAGCTCCCAGGCCTTTTCATACAGCATTTCAAAGCCTATTTTTACTGTACATCAAAAGGCTGGAAAGGGAAATGAATGTACAAGTACATTTATTACCTTTCTTTTTTAA